TGGGACCTATAGTACTATGTGTCCCCAGTTGTTTACAAACATTGGAGTGATCAGCGAATACTCCAGTGTTTGTGCTGCACACAGAGGATTGGTAAAAAGTACAGATATTTACTGATCCACTGCTTAGCCACTCACAGAGCTGCTGTCATCCTCAAACTGACAGAATGACAGCAGCTTCTCCTTTCTCCTCCCCGCTTGGCCATCCTGACAGCTGCCATCTCTCCTCCCTGCTTGGCCATCCTGGCAGGCAGTGCTCTCCCTCCTCCACCCCCGCCGGCTTCAGCAGTGTATTCCTCCTTGGATCCCCGCTGCCTCAACCCATACAGGCATGGGAGAGCAGCGAGGATTCAAGGAGAAGCCCTCAGCTGTGCCTCCCCTCTACTGCCTGCTGCCCCAAAGCGGGGCCATGTGCCTATGACACCAGCCTCCAGCTTGTGTCATAGCGAGCTGTGTGAGCTGCCTGCCGCCCTTATTCCCACGGCGCCCTGTGTGGCTGCTCAGCTTGCAAACCCCAAAAGCCAGCTTTGAGAGAGAGACATACATAGTCTACTAGGGGTGTCATGAGGAAATATCCTGAAATTGTATTAAACTTTCCAGAACCACCCAAACTTAATAAGATGGATTTAGTTGGCCAATAATAGGCCTTGGAAGCAGCCTCAGACAAGGATGGATAAGTCACATACACTTTTTAGTCTATTTATACATTTTTTCACACGATTCACAAATTTTTCCAACTGAATCCAATTAGAAAAATGTATGAATGTTGGGTGAAAGTTGTGTGAATCTTGCACGAAAAAATATAGAAATTAACCCCCTTGATAAAGTTTGTATAGTTACTCATCTAAAATGTTTACAAGGGTGGTTGAATTCTAAAGAACATATACTTGCTGTGAATGCACAGCATGATTTAGGGGTAATGCTGGAATAGATACTGTATATGTAACGCAATGCAGAATGCCATGAATCCAATATAAGTAAAAATGTGTTCACCAAAAAACATGGTAAGCATCCCACATAGTGATAATAACTAGAAATGATAATAACCACTATACTTTTATTTTATGGGGTAACACCCATTACTTCTGCGTATTGATATAGTAATGTAGCAGAATTTTTTTTACTTAAAGGAGAACTATGAGATGAGTGATTTCATAGTTAGAGCCGACCTGTGACAATGAAGCTGTCACAGGTCGGCTCTATTGATCGGGAAGTGAGAGGAATTCTAAGCAGCAGGTATCTAATACTTGATCATTTTATCTATTTTAATAATCTAGGGCATTTCTGTTAAGGACATTTATCTTGTAGTTTAATGTACTACACATTTTCGGATATATGTGCAATTAATGTTTCCATTATTCCTTATGTACTTATTTATTTGTTAAGTTAGTTAAACATGGCAACCACTCAATTGTTCCTTTTCATTTTATGACTTAAAACAGATAATAGAATTAGTTTGTTTTTGTTTTTCGCAGCATCAAAGCATTGGAAAACATCAGTGTTTTTATAGTAAATCTGTTATCAGACTATACTGTACAAAATGGCCCAATGGCACAGGGTGATAGATGGTTATTTTAAAGTTCGTTTTTATACTAGTGTGTTATCAATATTTATGCCATGTGCCCCAGGTTCATATCAGAGCTCTCCAGCAGGAACAACAGTGAGCAGAATGGTAGTGACATCACCAAATCTCACTCCAAACCTCACAAGGCTAACAGATGGATTTAGCAATGTTTTAAACCACACACTGCAGATATATAGCTATAAGAGACACAGGAGTGACTAGACACCATCACATACCAGGAAGTGCACTGCTATTTTTCTGGCCTTCATACTTTTTGATCACTGACCTGAAGCATGCATTGTTTTATTGAGTACACTGTCATTTATTTGCATTACATTTAAATTCTTCAATGATGTAAGTGTAACATTTTTAATAAACAATGTTACCTCTTACCATCCTGGTCCAAAGGTTACCCTACAAATTCAAGGTATCAAATTTTAACAGAGATCCATCCCAGCACGCTCCTACAAGTACATTTTTCTTTAATCCATCTGTCACTTAATTATATTGATCCTTGCTTCCGACTAGAATGGAACAGAATAGGTAAATAGAGGAACAAATGCAAGAGCAGGAAATCGTTAATTACCAGCTAATGTTATATTAGTGGTGTACAATTAATTAGCAGAAAACATGATAGTGAATTCTGAGAATAAAAGCTAATAGTAATTCAATTGTAAACCATGTTTCCATGTTGTATTAGCTCTCACTTGCTGCTTAAGACATAATTGTGTTGTATCTTAACACTCGCCAAGTGTAATGTATTCTATCTTGTATTTTTTCCTTGTGAAATCAATAGGAGGCAGACATTTCCCAAGGTGAAAATATAGATTAAAGTGGAACACACAGTTCAGGAGATCTTATACTTACTATTTTAACACCTTAGTGACTTTAGGTGTCGGAAATTGTGATCCAGATGTTACTGATGCAAGACTATTGTAGACCAAAAGCAAAAAAAAATCTTTGCAACGTCTTTTATGCTTGTGCATTGGTTTGCAGATTATATGTCTGATAAACATCAGGACACAATGTAGGACGGCTGCAGAGCTAGAATGACATGGCTTTGGAGCGGCTGGATAACACAATACCCAATTCACCCATATTGATTTTTTAACATAAGTGCTTGTATAGAACATCACATGCTGCTTAGATTATTCTAGCCAGCGCCTGAGTCACAATAAGCCCTGGAAGGGAAAGGTTCCCAGCTGCATAAACAACGACAGCCTTCTCACTGATATCATACAAGGAGAACTCAGCTGTAATAACCTTGACGGAAAATGTTTCGGCACAGCTACATCTAAATCTCAAGTTTGCCTAGTGCACCCTTTGTGTGTTTGTGAGCAGCCCTTAACGTGAATTGGAAAAGAACACTTGGAGAAACAGCAGTTCACTAATCAGATAAAGAAACTTCTTTTTTTCTTGAGTCATTGAACGATTAATGTTACAATGCAATAATTTTATTGTAAATGCAACCGCTGTGAAAAAGTATGGGCCTTGTACAGACATCCATATACCTTTCTACTCTAGAATCGATTTGAAACCCCTGATTTGCACTGCTGATTACTCCGCAATGGCAAAAAAACATTTACAGAAACAGAAAACTCTTATAAATTATAACAAAATAATTATTTTACGTTTCATGTGTGAAAGATTTACTTTAAAGAAAAGCTACATTGGTTTTGTCAGCTTTATTATTTTTAAGTGTATAAAATAAAATAAAAAACTTTTAAATAAAATTATGTTTAGTAATTATATAAAATTCTAATTTTACAACTAAACACTTAATGCAAGGTTATTTTGTATAGAACTGCTTGGATTTTTAATAAGATAGCCCAGCACTAGTTCTGCACATAACTGCTTCTGCTGATTACAAAATCAAGACAGGCACTGGCTATCCTATGAAATGAGAAGTGGTATGTGTCTCTCCTCTGAGAGTTCCAGGCATTATTGATTCCCCAAAACAGTGCTGAGAAGAAAGCAACCATGACTTAGTTGTAAAAATGCATAGAATGCACAGATGTCTAAACAACGGTGCTTCATGAGTAATTAGGTCTCCCAATAAGTGCCCCCCAAACTCTTTGTCTAATTAGTATACTGAACCAAACAGCTCTGTACACATGTAGGTGGTCAGTGGCTTGGGCACAGCAGCAAAATTGTAAATATTCAAGTTTAGGGACCAGTTCACATGGTACAAATCACAGACGTTTCCTAGCACACTTACCGCACAGTTTATAACTAGCCTTTGTAGCAAGGTGCGCACGGAAGGGCTTACAACAATACAAAACACAGAAGTTTCCCTGTACACTTAACAACTAGTCTGCAACAAAACAACTGGCCCTGTCTAACAGTATGCTTTAAAAACAGAGGTTTTAGTTGCACAACTTTTTACAAAAAATATGTGGAAGCCACACTGCCTCGTCAAGGCACCCCCGTGCAGTGTGGTCCCACTTAAAATTTTGTGGTTGCCATATATCTTTAGCTTGGCTGTATTTTGTGTGGGGATACACTAGGACCCCCAGTCTGCATTTTGGATTGCTGGACCTCCAGTGCATCCCTGTGCTTTATGGAGGAGTGGGCTCCCTCCAGGCATACCTGTATTCAATTTATCAACTGCTTAAATATGCTCCATTATAAATACTTAGAGTTGGGACCACACAGCACGGAGGAGCCTTGACGAGGCAATGTGGCTTCAACATATTTGTTGAAAATGTTGTGCTAAACCTCTGTTTTTAAGGCATACTGTTAGACAAGGCAATTTATTTTGTTACAGGCTAGCTGTTAATTGTACTGGGAAACTTCTGTGTTTTGTATTGTTGTAAGCCCTTCCGTGCGCACCTTGCTACAAAGGCTAGTTATAAACTGTGCGGTTGCCATGTATCTTCAGTCTAGTTCACATGGGTTTCAGCTTGTATAAGACCAGTGTGAACACCAAGTACCTTTTTTTCTGTGCATACTATTGCATTGCATTGCAGTGGTGTGAACTGGGCTCATTGTAAACAAAACAGTTTGGCTTGTTTTTGCATTGGAACTGCACTGGAAAAGGCTGCCCACCCCAACACACCTGGAGTGAACAAGCCCTAAAGACTTCAAGAAAGCTACTTAAGGCTTGCTAAAAGCTTCACAAATGCTCTGCAAAAGTTTGCAAAAATTCCCGCCACTAGATGGAGCAGAGAAATATAGGAAATTCCCATGCATCTCAGCTCAATCTAGACTGTAAAACAGGTGGTGGTTAATCACCTTTAGGCGATCCTTAAAAACCCTATCTCATCTCACCATAACTGCCTTTTACTTCCTCCAATAACTCAGTCCAAACAATTATTATCTTTTGTATCACTTGCACCTCTTACTAGATTGTAAGCTCTCACGAGCAGGGCCCTCCCAACCCTATTGTGCTGAAACTGTATTGTATTGTAAACTGTATTGTAACCGTACTGTCTCCATGCTTTTGTAAAGCGCTGATCAAATTGTTGGCGCTATATAAATCCTGTATAATAATAATAATGATACACGTGCCACGGCCATGATGGGTTTGGCGGACAGTGCTGCTTGCCAAATATGATTATTGTTACTACCCCTTGGCTGCCTGTATAAACAAGGATGTCTAGGATAGCTTAACAAATGCATTTAGTGATGTTGAGAGGTAGGGAATAGGATGAGCAAAAATGAGGGGCTTTATGTCCCTGAAATTTCTGTGAAAATCTGGTGATTTCTGTGATTTCCCCATCTAGGAGAAATGCATTGAAGTGATGGGGAAAGTATTTTTTTTAAGGGTGCAATTGGTTTTAAATGGCTTCTGGGGGTTGCGAATCTCCTTTCAACTTGCTTAGACCGGTTCTTGTGCCAAAAATGGCCCCCGTCAAATTTTTCACAGACAGAAAAAAGATTTAATTGTGGAAAAAAGTAAAATGAAATATGTTAAAGCCACAGTATACAATTACCAATTCAATACCCCAACATAGGGAACAAAAAAAAATACTTTTTTCAAGCTTTTTTCAACTAAGCAGCTCCGTAGGCAAAATAAGGGGTGTATTTATAAACAATTTTCAGAGCCATTCATCCTGCAAAACTCTGTGAACATTCATTCTGTATGAATGGAGGCAAAAAGAAAGTGAATATTATATTTTCTTTCCAAGTCAAATGTAATGTTAGGAAAATACTACATGATGGCCACTAGCTGGAGCTGTGGATCATAGGAAATAAGTATGTATTTCCTCTGCTCCACTTAGTGGCCATAATGCAGTATTTTCATGATGTTGCATTCACCTTGGAAAGAAAATATACTAGGAACATTTGTTTGTGCCTCCATTCATATAGAACAAATGTTTACGGCGTTTTGCAGGATGAATGACTCTGCAAATTGTTTTTATATACACCGCAAAATGTTTTCACGTTTGTCACATTTTGCCAACTGCAAAATCAGTAATCAGTTTGACCAAAATCACTCTGCTTATCTCTATTGATGATTGGGGCAAAGATGTTTATTACTGGCACCATATTAGAAAGTATAAGGGGGACAAACTCTGGGAGTTGCAGCGGTGTACAAATAGGTTTGTCCTGCTTGTTTATTCAGCAAGGCAGCAAACACAGTTTCAATGCTGTATAGTTTGTGACAGCAAGTTCATGATATAAAACAAGGGATGCTGATTTTTGAAGGAACCTAACAATATTTTTCCTAATTTCTAAAATGTGTACTGTCACTTGAAAAAAAAAAGGCATGGGGTTCTACTTATAAATTCCAACCAGACCCTTATCCAGGCATGTAGCCTGGGTGGCGAGAAAAGAAAAGGCAGCAAGTGTGCACACCCTCTTTTGATACCAGACCAGATCAGGGGTACCTTGTGAAGAAGGGTGGCAAAGCCTCCCCCTTGCAAGACACCTTGTCCCAGTGTTTAAGAACAAGGGTATCTTCCCCATATCCAGTCCTCCAAAAAGGTTGTGGGGGTTTGTTGGGGGGGGGGAGAAGCTTATAGGAATCTGGTAGCCCCTCTATAATAAGGGAACTCCAGATAACCACCCCCTACCAGGGGAATGAGTACAAGGGTACATTAGTACCCCATTATTACTTATTCCCAAAAAATGTCAACTGTAAACACACTGACACCCGTGAAAAAGTTGTTAAATAACAACAGCAAAAATTAATAAAATGTAAATAATGTTCCCTACTGTAAATCCAATGCCAATGTCATCCAGCAATATAAACCCAGCATCAATCATGTTGTCCAGGGATGTTAAAGTGGACCTTTACCACCTTTGGTTAAAAATCGAATCAGCATACAGCTCTGCATGCCGCATCTTACATTCATTAATTAAACAAACATATTTTCATTTTACTTACAATTTATTGTTTTCTGCTTCCTGGTTCTGTTTGACAAAAGTGATGTAATGGTGCCCAAGCATTGCATCCTGGGAAGATAACATCAGCAGTGCATTGCTGGGAAATCGCATCTGTAGGGCATTTCCTCACCTGAGATTATGTGTATGGTCACATGTCCTAATAACATGTGCTGGAGTTCCAGGAAGTAAAGTGGAGGATTAATCTGCTTTTAGTAAAAAGGGCCACTGTGAGAAGAACAGGTAGGAAAATAAATATAAGGCATGCAAAGAATAAAAAGCCAGCAGTTATTTATAAGTATCTGTTTGTAGATTGTCATTACTAAACATTTCTAAAGGTGCCTTTGTTGTTATTTTGAAGATATGGGTAATGTTCCACTTTAAGTGTAAATAACGATGACTCACCACCTTCCAATGTTTCACAGCCACACTTTCGTCACTAATAGACATGTACATTTTGTTTTGTGCACCAATTCAGACGCATTTTTGTGAATTTGGACATTCGGATGCATCTGAATTTCTGAATGAAACAATTACCGAATGCAAAAGAATCCAAACTTTGCGGTAACTTAAAATCGATACCAGGCCCTTTAGGTCTGGTAGAAATTATAAGGGGGTCTCCACAACAACAACAAAACAAAACAAAAGAAAAGTGTGCGGTCCCCCCTAAAATCCTTTACCAGACCCTTGATCCGGGCAAGCAGCCAGGAAGAGCAGGAAAATAATAAAAAAACATATTTCTTACCTTTTAGATGTTTTGTTACAGCAGGCATGATGGCTGATTCCAGGTTTTTCTCAGCACCAACATGGTGATTTGTCTTAATGGAAAGGCTTAGGGCTGAAATTTGTTGTTTGTGTTTCTCTCATTAACTTAATTAACATACAATGGTCAAACCACCGCAACCCCCGTCACAGCCTCTCCTAAAATTGTAAAGAAAGATAAGCAAGTAGAAATGTTAACCCTTAAAGCCGTAACCCAAATAAAAGCAATATAAACTGCAAGAAGCATTTTTTAAATATTTTTCTAAGCTTATGCTATGTAAATATGAACATGTAACAAATATAAAATACATGTTATCCCAATTTGTCTGCAAAATACACTAGTTTTCATTAGGGACAAACCGTTCAGGAAGTAATCAGAATGACCCAGTGGAAGATTAGAAGTTCAGCCATTGACCTTTGACAAATAATTCTGATAAAATTACTTTTTAAAAGTAACTGGTTGTTGTGGATTACAACTCATTGGGCAACAAAGAACTGTGCAGTGCAACAAAACTGCTGAAGCTTTAATCCCCAGTGTATTAAGAAGTAGTGAAAAAGCTGATATTTTGATAGTTTCTCCTTACTATGTAACTTAATAATCAAATAATAGATTCATTTTTGGTAGCATAACAATAAAACCATATAGCCATGTTGCTGCTTCAATAAGGACGAGTCTTTGGGGATTTTCTGATGTTCAGTGTTTTATGAACCAGTGAAGTGAAAACAATTATTTCTGCTTTATTTAGGCCTGTGCTATGTTTGTAGAGAAGGGAGGGGGGTCCTTTTAACACTGTTTTTGGCAGAATGACCTCCAGCACAATTGTGGTATGGCAAGTAAATCCTCCCTCTGTCAGGCAAATGGTTAAAGGATGGAAATTCCATTAAGATGTCTATTCTCTGAACATTCAATCCTATCGAACATACAGCTGTGAAGCTGCAAGCTAATGGCTTAGGATTCTCAGTCCACTTAGGCAGGAACAATGTTCAAAGAATTAGATGCTGAGCACCATGGAAAATGATAGTTTGTTAATAAATAGATTTTAAGATGTGCTGAGACCCTGTAGTTGAGCTACAATGGCAGCACAAAGGACACTGAAAGCTTGTCTAATACTACAGCACAAGTCATACAATAAAAATATGCCTTTGGAGAAATATTACAGGTTGTTTTTTTTAAATCACCTAATAGAAAAGATGTGGGTTTTAAATGACTCATGGGGTGTTTAGATGGTTGTTTAATTTAAATGTGATGCTGCCAATTGAAGCCAGGTGTCAAAACACTGCCAACATATTTTTTGTGTGTATCCAAGTGCCTAAGAAACTGACCTGCGGGGATCCCTTAGTCCTCCATCCAAAAACAGTGACCTTTCTGCATAGCTCATGGAGATAACAGTAATGAAATTCTGTATTGGGCTCCTATGAGCAATTACTCCATAGTTGCATAATGCTGATATGTATCCTATAGTAATATTATGATGGAAACTCAGAGGTTGATTCCTTTAAAGGTTCAGTATTAATTTTACTATTAACCTAATTAGTAGTTTCACATGAACAGAGCGTCTGATGGATATAAGGGGTTACAAAGCAGATACATGACTTCAGGGCTAAAAGTACATTTCTGGGGTACAGAGAGCAGGACAGATTGGAGCACTGCAGATATTTCCCCTACTCCTTCACATCCACATTTATTTAGCGATGGTAATATTTCCATTTGTCTGATCAGCCGCTAGAGGAAGAATCAACAAACCTGGATAAATAATGCAAAAATGGAAATATTGTACAGAATAAACAAATGTGAAAATTACATTAAAAAATCTTTTACAGGCAAAAATTACATTACTGAAAAGAACTTCATATCAGAGCTTGGTCAATTAGTTTAAATTTCATGTTTAGATATATTCATATACATTGTAAAGTGGTCTTTTATATCTATATTTATTATGTGTGTAAAAACTTTGTTTTACAAATAAATATTTGAAACAGAGTGCTTCTGGGACTCGCTGTCTGTAGAGGATGTTGGGCTTTCAAAAAAGAAATCCCAGCACTAGCACTGCACTGCACTGCACTTATTGACTTTTCCTGTAGACCCAGAAAACAGATGAGTTCTTTCTCGACTAGCAGAGGAAATGGGATTTGATGTAACTGTATGTAATCTGATACTACTTCTTTTCACTACACATGCTATTCAGCATAGTAGTAGGTCAGCATGGGCATTAAGTGGCTTTTTTACATCATGCTTGCTACTAGCTGGCTGCATCTGCTAAATATGGAATATGTGTGATGATAATGATTACTGATATCCCCAAAGTGAGTGCAGAGAATGGGAAAGTTGTATTGCACACAATGCCATGCTCATTTCTCCAAAATGCACAAGGCAATGACAAAGTGGTCTGATTTGAATCTTCTGTCTCTGGTGGAA